TAAGAAAATTTAAAAAAAGTTTAGGATAGATTACAAAAAGTAATTTTTCAGCCTGGCAGGACAGAGGCAACTGAAAGCACCACATATTGGTGAGATGGAAAATGAGGCACATCCCAACAAAATAACTGCCTAAATCTGAAGTGTTTTAATGAAGCAGGAAGACAACCTTTTGTGGAAACTAAATCCACACTAGTAACTTTTTAGATTAAAATTAATTAAATATGCACCACCACTCAGGAAGAAGGGTAGTCCAAAAAACTCTGCCTTCATTTAATTCATTTAGTCAATGAGTAATTATGAACTGTAAAATTATTCTACAGATTCTCCTAACAGTACACAAGTCAAAGAACTAAAGCCATCAAATTCTTGTCTGATGCAACTATTTAGGGACATTTTTTCTACAGCAATCTTAGAACTGGTAGTAGGCTGTACAATTATCTTTTAACAGCCTTGGTTTTAGTATAGTCAATGAGGACAGAAGCTAGATAAGCGATCCAGCCAAGACACATTTATCTACTGCACCTACTTAACTATTCAATGGGAAAGCCTTCCTGCTTGACACACAACACAAAAAGATCACGGTGTGATGCCAAGGCTGTCCAGGCCAAAGAGCCATGAAGAAATGGCACCCAATTCTTCACGTAAGTGTTTGCCTGCTGCAAATCAAGACACTGGAATGAGTTCAAAACCTCGATAAAACAGATAGGCAAAAAGTTTTCTCCAGCTTAAAGAGGCGGCTGTAAGCCTTTACCATTTAGTGGTTTTCAGTGTTGCTCTTTACATTGCTGGAGAGAGGTTCGAACACCTTCAGAAAACTCACAGGAGTTTACTTCTTTACTTACCTGAAGCAGGGGAAGCCCTGAATTACGGTTTTATTTAATATAATCCAACACCTGTAGAAGCTCTTAGAGCTCTGTGAGGTACAAGACACAACGTTACCAGATTTGAGCTCTCAAATGTCTGCTGGCATGAATTAACTGTAATCCAAGACCCTTTGCTATTTTCTTTACTCAACTCATTCTTTACTGAAGGAATGACTTGAGGAAAGCTGCAAAGTGCATTTTCAGTCTCCACGGAACAAAACAAATTATACAAGAACTAGAATTATACATACCTTAATAATAATTTTTGCCTTCTTACCTCTTTAGGCAGAAATACAGTGCAAGATACAGGAACTGGAAACTACACTAAACTACAGACTTCACTTCATACTAGTATTTTTAAGTGAATTATTGTAAGCAAAGAGTTCATATGAATTCCAGCTTGTTTTGAGAGCAATCAGAATAAGGCCATAACATATACAGGTGGGAAGACTACAATCTTTATTTCTTTCATATAATTAAAAAAAAAAAACAAAAGAAGGGTAATCGTAGTATAAATGGAGGAACAAGGCCTGTCACATGACCAGGGAAATGCAGAATGGAAAAAGGAAAGCCAGTACTAGGCTTTGGGGAAAAATGTCACAAGGTAAGCACTTAGGCTACACATTTTCAGAATTTATTAAGGAAAAAAACCCCTGCAAGTTAGAGAATAAAATTAAGACTTAAAGTTTAAAGTATTATCTTGCCTTTATTTAATTTTTTTTTCCACAGAACAAACTATTAAGTGAGTCAGGAAGGCCCTTAACGTTCCATGCTTTTCAGTTATTAGTGTAATCTTATATATTTTACAAGAAAAACAAGCAGTTCTTATTTCTACAATGGCTTTTCAGTGAATTTTTTCATTGGGATTATAATATTTTCATTAAGTGACCCCTGCTACATTGAGGGAAATAGAAGGATACAGTATTGTAGTGTTACATACAAGTACTTAGAAGAACTCTAAAACAGTGGAATCCAAAAGTAATTTTATTATTAAAAATATCTATGAATTGCATACCTAAGACATATTTTGCAAGCACTAAGGGAAAAAAGCCAAACAGTTTTAGTGTTCTTACATATATTTATATGGGTATTGTATGTGATTATTGGAAAAAAAAAATTCCCCACTAGGTTTTTGATTTATCTTATATAAAACAAAGCTTTATCTTCTACAGTTCTAGCCATCAGAAAGATAAACAGCATGTTACGTGTCAGAGGGACTGAAAACTTACAAGGACTCAGGGCAAACTGGGTGATGGACAGTATACAATCAATTATCAAGGAGTCTTAAGATCATCTAGTAACACTGTTTCCATTAAAGTGGAAAGCACAATGTATCCTGAGAATATCAGGCAGGTTCGATCTACAGTCAAGGAAAAAAAAAAAAAAAATCAAACAACAACAACAAAACCCAAACAAAAACCACCAAACCCACAAAACTTGTACTAATGCAGTACAGTTTAGTGTTAGACAGCAGGAATAGAGAGCAGAACGTTAACTAGCAGGGGATGATGCAAAATTTATTTTAAACCTACTAACAATGTAAACAATTTCCATTAATTTACTATTTTTGATAATTATGAAAGTTGCCAAAAGTAGACCAGAACCTCAGGTGCTTAAGCAATAGGTCATGTCATCAAAATAAGGTCACTGTGATATTTTGGCTGTTTTTTCAAGTCACTAGTTAAGCAACTTTTTGCCCCTTTTTTTTTTTCCTTCCTCCCAGTAGTATACTTATACCAGTTTATATTTGTTGGAAAAAAAATTTGAATTCAGCATATGAGTACCAAAAAATGTGCTGGAGAAAACAGTAAAGAATAATTGATTCTAACATACAGACTAAATTTATGCCTTTAATTCAATTCACTAAATCTTTTCTAAATACTAACAACTCTTTCAAAAACGAGTCTGAAAAACTGGCAATATTAGGACATCAGAACTCACGTAGAGTATATTTCTACATTAGTAACAAGTCTTCAGTACAGATGGCTAAGAAAGACTTAGCTATCTGGAAATTACCTGGAAAGACTGAAATAAAACTCAGCATAACAATTCTAATAAAACAAGTTCATTCTTCCTGATAATAATGATCAGTGAAAGAAAAGTAATTATTGAAGTCAGTTTAAAATGTTTTGTTCTCTTGTAAAGAGGAAGTATCACAAAGTTACTTAAATCTTATGATAAAGAATTAAGTATTAAGCAGCATGAGACATTCATTTTGCATTTGTGTGTGCTTTCTAGATTGATATATTAATATGAACACTGAGACAAAGAAAAGTGACCAACAGTGTTCAGCTTATAACACAAACCTGAGTATCAGAGCATGACTCCAATGGTTGATTAAGAACTGCAAATGCATAATAAGGACTAGAGTTAGCATCCAAACACAAAAAAGTGAAAAGCAAGGTCCTAATCAACTTTCTGCAAAATTCCTATTGGTGCAAGGACTTTTTAGAAACAACACAGTAAAACCGTGGAAAGAAACCATAAAAATTTTGTTTACTGTGAAGATGTTGGTTGGCATTTATCTTATATAACTATAATGATATAAATTTAGTTGTTTGAGTTTATGCCATTCACCTAGGCTCCCTTGAGAGAAAAAAAGAACCTTGAGAAAGGTATCTGTCATTCCTGAATGGACTGGAAATCCTTGGAAAATCCTTATTTCTCCCCAGTAACAACTGAGGAAGCCTCAATGACTAGATCAGGATGCAGCATGATGTTAGGACTATGCTACTTCAATGGCAGAATTGCCTCTCCATCCATTGTCCCACCATCTTGTGTCAGCTTTAACAAACTATGAAAAAACCAAACCAACCTGGGGGGGAACAAAAAAGTGGTCCATCTCATTCAACTCATCCCGTGGCTACGTGACTGATGATCCAACACGGGAGGAGAGGGAGGAGGAAGAACATGTGGTCAGAGATAGGCGGAAGAGGCAGGTAGAATAACCACTGCCTCACTATTAGATCAACTCAGTCTTAACACCAGGCCAAGTTCTTAGACTGCGAGAGCTGACTTTCAGAGGGTTAAAGTAAAATAAAAGCCACTCCTCAAGATTGTAATCAAAAGCACAAAGAAAAGGATGATTATTAACCCAGAAAAAGGGTCAAAATAAGTACAATCATACAGTAAGAAACTAGCACCTTACAGTTCAGTTAATGGGATAAAAAGAAGGAAAAAAAAAAGGGGGGGGAAGGGGGAGGTAAATTTTCACTGAAACAGCAGTGCATCAGCTGAGAAGAGCTTCAGATATCTTTTTAAGTACGAAAAGGATATCTCAGAGGCCACAGGGCATCTGAGATCTACAGGCAACACCACAAGTTAAAAGACCACTGGCAGGAAACAGTACTTGACTGTTCAGCCTCTGCAACAGTAGTAACATGGCTGTATGACCCACAGTTAAGAAATTAAAGTAAGCACAGTCAACTCATCATTAAGGAATCAATATACAAATACAAATACTTTTTGTGCAGCTTTTTCTAGTAAGAGTAAACAGCAAAGAATTGTGCACTCCTGTTTTTTTTTTTTTTAAATCAAAATGTACCTCTATTTCCATGACATTCACAAATAAAGCCTTTTGAAATTTCCAACTTCCATAAGGCTAATACATTCTAAACCTCATAAAACAGATTTTGAGGCATACACCTCCACCACAATATTTGGCAAAGAAGAAATCATTGAAACAAGAATAAAATCGTGATACAAAATAAAGTGATACAGATATCTATTTTTAGCCATACATATACACGTAGTAAAAACCTTCAGAATATATATTTTAAAAGACTGTTTCCTAACCTTTACAGAACAACATACAACGTACAGAAAACTGTGTTTAATAGAGTAAGCAACAACTCTTAGAGAGAAAATATGCATAAAACTGTTTGGCTGACAGGTCAATTATTTTCAAACAATACAATTGAAATTTATTATACAGGAAGAATACCATATGATAATACACTTTTATGAAGTTTCATATAGACAACTAAAAGTTGAGATTTTGTTCATGTATTCACTTAACTATTTTTCTACACATGCAATTAGCACTCTTTGCATGAGTAGGCATTAGTTTCTGAAGGGTTACATATTTTGTACAGACTACGTAGTTTGTATTTTTTAATACAATTTGTTATCACATACCCATGTGTCTGCATGAACAGGCCTGATGTTGCTGAGAAGTACCTCTTCATAATTTCCATAATCACAGAATTTAACAACTGCAGTTGTCCCAGAAGAATGGAGAGCTTCAATTTCTGCCCGGTAGAACTTAAAAGAGAAATTTTCAAAGGTCATAAAATACTACCTGAAATATCACAAACAGTTTAACAACTACCTTTTCATAAATACGTGTGTATGTATATATGTATATATATATATTTTTAGTCTTAGTCAGTATTATTTTTTGAATAAGATTTGTACCAGCTATTAAACCGAATATATTAACCTTCAACATGATAGACTGCAAGGACATGGTAGAATGTATTTAGAATACTCATTAAGAAAATATGCAGCTTATGGAATTAGACTGAACATTTAAAAGACTTGTTTTCATTTCTCTGAAAGCAGAACAAATTCATCACTAACACAAATGCTGTTGTATACAGAGAAGTGTAACTGTAAGACTTCTTAAAATACATCTATCCATGCCTATAAGCTACATATGCTGTACATGCTAATATATACCTATTTTAATACATAATATGATAGAAATATGATAAAACTGTCCCTTCAGAAAGTCCTTTTTCTAAACACAAAACTTGATTTTTTTGACATTTATGCAAACACAGATCAGCCTTCTTCAAGATATTCAATCACCTTTATCTTACTGAACATAAAGAAATCACTGCCTCCTAACGTGGTTAAGCTCAGTATGTATTTTATCAATGCATTCCAAAATTGTCCTCAATGTGAGCGGCAGCATTTATTGTAACTACCTAAAAAACCAATAACTCTCAGAAAAACCCCTTCTAATGTGATGAATACTTTTCAGGTAACAGTCTGGGATTACCTCCTACCTACTTATTTTGCAAGTTTCATGCTTTCCAGAATTACGAAAACTTATCTCCCAGTAATGCAAATATGCTTCTCAAAATAGGAAACAATTCCATAATATGCCATTATATTTCACTAATCCGTCCATCCAAGCTACATATTCCTATTTCAGAGTCAACTCACTATAAGTTGCCACTACCAAAAATTTTGCATGCCTTACCATGTTTTAGTCATACAAACAAAAGAGACAAAAATAAAGTCATGCTGCTGAGCTAACACTATCTACTTCCTCTAAAAAAAGACAAAAAAAGGAAAAAACCTTAAATAAATAACAAAAAATAACCACCAACAACAAAAAGACAGAAAATGGTGGGAATAAAACCTATTCAAAGAACAATAAAATCTAAGGTAGTTCTCAGACTATAAGAAAGGGTCAAAACCTGAAGAAACTACCCAAGAAGAGTGACAGAAAACTCCTGAACAGGTAATAAAAAATTCAAAGAAAATAATCAAAAACATTTTTAGCAAAGGAGAAGATGAAAGGAAAGTGACTTGCTGCAAGAGAAATCTTATTAATAGGAAAAACAGCTGAAGAGGAAGTATTTAAATTTTAAAAATCAGTAAAACAAAAACCATCATGCAGCATAACTTATTTGTTGCACAAATTCTTCAGCTAATAGTCTACTAGTGATAATAAAAAAAAAAGCCTTTTGCTGTTTCCTTTCTGTAACAATTGAAAAACTCCCTCTTTTATTTCAAACAGCCCCATTCCTGCAGACTCTGGTCTCCCCTTGCGCTAGTAAAGGTTGCATGCTGACTTATTCTAGAAAAAGGCATTGCACATCTACCATTACAGACTATTCTAGATAGCACAGCATCCTGTTTCTTGTTCCTTGGAAAAGAATACGGGCACCTAGCTCCATATTCATCCTTTCAAATTATCAGCGCTTAAGTCAAATGCTTCAGTTAGGAGCTTAGTCATCCTAAAGTCCACCTAAATGAGAGAAACAATCACCTTCAAGATGACTTAATTTAAGCATTTAAAGTTTCATGCAATGAATACAAGAGACATATCTCATATATAATAAAAAAAATAGAACAAGAAGCTAGCCAAGAAGCACACTACGCACCTATGAACGAAGCCTGTGTCTCTGCTATATCTCCCACATGTACGTAAGAAAACAATAAAGGTACAATTTGAGGTACTTCTCATTTGACAAAGGCATACCTTGTTGTCTTCCCAATAAAGAGCAAAACATTCATCCCCTGGTCTCCAACTTTTTCCATATTCCATGTGAATCGATGGTTCTAATATTTTCTCTGGTTTGATGGGCCCAGATCTCCTTTTGGGACCGGTGTTGTAATACAACATTTTATCATCAAAACATGGGATTGTAGTGGGTCCTGATGATTTGATAGGTCCTACTCGTCTTCCTTTCTGATGATGCTCAGTATCTCCATTTGGTACAGCATTAAAATTATCAGTTCTACCAGGATTTTGGTAATCATTGTTAACACCAAAATGTTGCTCACTTTTTACCATAAAGGCTTCACTACTTATTGTTCGTGCCTTCCTATCACAAAAATTTTCAGAATTATGTATTTGGTTTTCCCTTTTCCCACGTTTCTGGTTATTGTTGTCTGTAGTATCTTGAACAGCAGAGTTCTCCTTGAATTCTGTGAAAGACACCCCTTTTCCTACTCTGTTTTGCATATTGTTATCCCTTTTTTTGAAAGTAATATCACTCTGGTGAGTGGCTATGGAATAACCCAAATCCTTTGGCCTATCATTTCTAGGATAATGTCTGTCACTTTTATTTTTTTCATCTGTCCAATGTTCTAAAGAGTTGTGCCTTTCAGGACCTCTGTTTCTTGGTAAGCCACCACTTTCCAAAGCCTGCCTTGAATTCTGAATATCCCTTTGAAAACGAGGGGGTTTCTCATTCCTTGGTTGTCTCATGTCATTGCGAGAAATGTGTCTTGAATGATTCTCTTTGATGCCATTCTGTTCTGTATTCATAACTTTGTGCTGCACTTGATGTGGTGGCTGAAATTGCAATTTTGGTTCTACAAAGAAAAAAATTATTTCAATTATTAACATATCCACACAAATGTATTTTAGAAATAGTGTTTCAGACCCTAACTGGTAAGCAATAGTATCATTTAGAAAAGTATGCAATATTTAACCTTTGTGATACAGAAATTAAATGGTACACAGAAAATTTAGCAGAGACATTTGAATGGTAATTCCTAGTTATTGGAAAACTTACACTACTCTGGGCTGTACTTAGAACCGAACCACCTACCAGTATGAGAAAAGCTGGGCATAATTTCCAGGAGGTTACTCATTTCTCCCTATGGACATCAGTAACTCACTTGAATAACAGCCATTTAAGACAGAAAAATAGAATTCCAACATGGAGAAAGGAAAAGGGAGAAAAATGAGAAGAAAAAAGGAATACTTTTAAACTGAATTGAGACTTTCTGTAAAAATAACTTGTTAACAGCTATTCAGCATAAAAGACAAAGGCAAGAAATAGAAGTGATAAAACGAACACAGCTGACAAACCGTAGATAACGGGAATAGTAACAAAGCCCACGACTCTGGAGACCCTAATCAATGAGCCGTAACAGCAACTGCTCAAGCATTACCTTTAAGAGATTTAACCAGAACTAACTACTGAGAAGAAAAACAAGATGGTCATGGATCTCATGAGGAAGAGCAAACTTGCTATGGGATGCTCCGGAGAAGGGGAATTGTGGGGATCTGTGAAACTTTTTATGGAATTATATTCTTTTTAGGCAGAAATGGAATTTTTAATGGGATGTTTACGTGAAGAACCAAGGGAGAGGAAAGATCAAGATTAATCCAGGAGGAATAAGCATGAGAAAATAAAGAAGGAATGAGATTAAACAGGACAGTTGCAAGTAAGCAGGCTGCTGGTCAATACACTTGCCAGGCCAAACTGTCCAAGCGATCACTGTAGCCTGTCTCACCTCCTTATCAAAATCGTTTCTAAAAATCTTCTGTGTGATTAAGTTCTCTATTCTGTGCATGAGGGGAAATGTTTTTAAACCTGCTGGCGAACTCGAGACAGGATAAGCTGGTAAGTGGGACAAGAAAGACCTGGCAGCTGAATACTGGAGAGACCACAGGTCTGAAGGCCATCTACCAGGAAGACTGCAGGTCTGGGCTCAGATACTGGACAGACCTACGTAAGTACACTCGTGCAACCCTCCTGTGACCTTCAGGTTGTACAAACCAGCAAGTTGGACAAGAGGCATCTGAGGTGGGTACCAGAGGTCAAGGGTCTAGGGGCCAGGAGAGACCCATGTGCATGTGGGTGGCTGGGTATGAGGGCTGCTAACAGACTTTGAACCCGATCGAAAGGGAAAGCATAAACCCATTAGAGTGATTCATGTTTATATGAGCAATTTTGTGCCTGCAAAGGTGTCATTCGCTTGCCCGTGTCCATCCATGGCAGTTGCCCACAGATGTATGGTGTGCATAGTCTGGTGTGTGTGCACGGGCCTGGTGGGACTACGCGCTCAGGCTCTGTGCTGCCTGGCCCTGAACACACTCCTATGGGGAGGAAAAACTAAGAACTCCAGTTTACATGTTACCACTAGAAACAATCAATGCTGACACCTGACAACAAATGTATCAATTTTCATAGTTACTTGCCACATGGTGAGAGTTAAAATTAAAATGTAAATTTTAGCTTTTTTAAAAAAAACCAACCCAAACTTCCTTGCATCATATTATTATTAATAGCTCACAGAATCTTTTTCAATTTAATTAACTAAATTGGCTAATACGAAACTAGTTTTATTTTTACATACACTTGATTTACCCTAACTTTTAGAAGTCAAAAAGGTTTGACTAAAATGACCTAGTGGTTTGGGGTTTTTTTTTTTAAAGTGACATAAGCATACATGAGGCTTAGCTTGATTGTAATCTTGATAAAAAACACATTTTACTGCAAAATTTATTACTTTGAAACCAATGCTTTTAATGCATGAATATGTAAATACATACTACTAAGAAAGAACCAAGAGTTTCATAAATACTCTTTTTTTTTTTTTAAATCTTGTAACACTTAATTTTTTTTTTTTTTTAAGATGAAATCCTTCAAGTCTAAAAGACCTCTTTATGTCTCCTTTACAAATGGAACATGAAAATACTGGCTGTCTTTGTTTTATGTCTGCAACTTTTCTGTAAGCATCTTCATTACACTTTCCCACTTCTGTATAATACATACCAATCTTCTAGATTTCCTGTTGTCTAGAAAGGTTTATCTTCCTAATTAATTAACAGTCTTCCTTCATGACATTCTTAATTTATACCTCATCTCCTCTGGTAGTAAAATCCTTGGGCTTCCACTCTTCCTACTCCCAACTTACACTCTCATGTCTATCCCTAATGTTAACTACACATGAAATGACTGAACTGTTTGATGACCTCTGAATGTTTACTGCCTTGTATACACCATTAAAGAAAAATGTGTATAAAATTCTAAAATACTTCATTATAAATCATCTTATTTAATATTCTGTAACATGAAATTCATTAAACAAAGTCACTTGCACAGGGGAAAGTTGTTCCAATGGTAAAAGTAAAAATGGGCTAAAGACTAGATTGGGCATGCTAATATTTTGCTAGTTGGCAGAATTTTAGGATTGACTTAGAATTTAAATGGTTCCTCTTGAGGGCTGTCCTTTGACCTTTTTCTAAATGAAGAAACATTTTCTGGGCTGAAATGGGTAGTCACCTCGAACAGCATCTAGTACATACAAGGACTCTGTACAACTGCAAGACGTATCCCCAAAGCATGCAGAGCAGTTATAATAATTTAGTTAAAGCCTTGAGGGAAAACTGAAACATATACATATTATTCTATAATTGGAAAAGGTTCACTGAAATTTCTATTCAATTTCATAGCATGTAATAAGTAATTTTAGCTACTGTCTAGGCACCTTAATGAAAATAACTAGTTTTACTAGACACCAAAAAATCTGCATATACTAGATCTCCGAGCAACCTACTTCCGTCGCACAGCTGCAGAGATCTTCTCATTCTACCCTTCTTCCACCTCTTTGACCTGCTTTCCAATAAAAAGTTACAAACATTCTCATGTGAGACAATATTTTCTGTCTTTAGAAAGGCAATATTAATCTTGAAAATCTAGAAAGAAATAATTCAGAACTCAAATGCTGTTTGTTTACTTAACAAGAATTACCTGTAAAATAGGACTTTAGAGTTATAACCCGCTATTCCATGAATATTTAAAACAGAGTAACTGCTAAGAAAAAATAGCAATACATTTAAACATTGGCATGAATAGCTCCACCCAGAACTAAGTTGTTAGGAAGAACTCCTATTATCTCCTTTCTTCAAGCAACAGAAATTTTAGCAGTATGTTAATAGAAAAGGCCATCTGTTGCAGATCTACTTAACAACAACAAATTTCTAATCTATCAGTTGCAAAAGTAGGACTATCGGATGATCAAATAATTTCTACCCAACATAATGTGATCATGATACAAAAGCAACAAGCTGACTTGAAAGTATGTTGGAACTTTCAGTTACAGGGGTTTTTTTTAAATATTATGGGAAAATTTAAATAATACTGTGTTAGCATAGAAAGAGACCAGAGAATTTCAAAACAGTGAACATAAGCATCTTTTTTCTAGGTCTATTTACTGTGACATGCAAAAGCTGCTCACACAACACCTGACATTTTTCTACTCTAACCTTAAGATATGCAAAACCTAGTTAACTGATGTATTCTACAAAGATGCAGTTATTGTCCTAAAAGCTTCCCAGGGGACCACATCATATGCAACAGCCTTGAATGAGCAGAACACGCTAACGGATTGTTTAATGTTCAAGCACAACCCATTCACAAACAGAAACTGCTAAATGACAGTAAATATTTCTTTGTAAACAGTCGCCAATGAAAAAAGCCTAGAGATGAGAATGTTACAGGTTCTTCATGAATTTGTGCTGTCTGGTCTGATCACCAAAAAACTGAAGGGAATCTAAAGCTGCTTCTATAGAAAAAGTTAAGCAATGAGGTATGTTATTCACAGATTGTCCATTGCAGCTGCTGTTCCTTGCTTCTACGTCTTCTTGCCCCACCTCCAACAAAGTATTAGCTAATGTTCCCAGAAAAGTAACAGTTCCTACAGGGCAGTAACAAACAAATATTAATTTGGCATTTGACAAGAAGATTTGGTACACTACTCTCTCAAACAGCCAGATGCATCAGCCCAGTCATCATCACTGTAATCGGACATTTGGGAATGCGGCCTGGAAAAAATCTATTTCAAAATTAATGACAAGGCTCTTGTCATCTATTGGGTAGTTTTAAGATGATGAATAGTGTTTCTCAGTTTGAAACCTTCACTCAGTTTTTTTACTCATTTTAGCTTGTGTATGTGATGACTCAAGAAGACCGTACAGAACCAAACACATTCCCTTGCTTACCAGAAACCAGCAGGACCTGCTGCAATTGGAAATCCCAGCCAACACAATTTAAAAAGCACTGCCCCATGCACAATGGAATTTAAGTTGTAGTTTGTGGATTTTATCATGTTTAATAATGTGGTTAAACAAAAAGACAGTAGCCCTTTCCACACCAGTGGCAATGATTTGGGTTTCTCCTTCCAACTTAAATTATGGTTTTATGCAACTTTATTGAAGCATGTCTTTAAGACAGCTGCCCCCAGGGCATGTTCTATCTTGAACTGGCCAAGAGATTAAAAAATTAGAAGGAAATTAATGATACATTTGCACACATTTCCTGTCATGGAGTAAAATTCCAGCTACTCAAGAGCTTTGTCAAGTTACATAAATATCAATATCTTTCTTTCTGAAATGTAGTAACACTGAGGAACTGGAACTTGAGTTCATGTTTCTGTTGAAATAAAATAAATACAAGCTGAGGATGATGATGATGATAATAATAAAGTGGCAAAAAATGCCCCAAAACATTCTGCAATTGTATACACTACAAACTTTAACTTACAGGATAAAAGGACTGAAACAAAAATTGGTAATTTTC